GCAAACAATAAAAAAGGCGAAACAAAAAATCAAATAAAATAATAAATGTAGGCATAAAAAAAAGGGAAATATTTTCAATATATTTGCGCTGAGCTTAAAACAGAAACAACAATGGCAGTGGAAAATGCTGCAGCAGCGGCCCAAACCATTTTTAATTTATTTTTTCTCTCCCGCTTCGTTGTTGTCATTGTTGTTGTTCTCGTTGCTGTTGTTGTTGCTGCAGTTTTTGTTGTTGTCGCCCAACATTTACCGACGTCACACATACGCACCGTTGGCCCCTGCGTCTGTCCCGAGGTTTTTTATGGCCACCGCTGCCATCGCCGTCGCCGTCGCTGCTGGCGCTACTGCACGCCCCTGTTGCTCCTGCTGCTCCTGCTGCAACACCCTGCCCATCTCGATGGTGGCAATCAGTGCACCTATGTACCCTGATCCTGGGCACAGGACATTGCTGGCCCGTTTGCTTGCACGCGTTTTCGCATTTGGGCATCTCTCTTGCTTTTTGTTCATTTTTTGAGCGTTCGTTCGCCGCCGCCACCGAGGCCAATGGTGGCGTCGACGGTTTGAGCGGTACCGTTATATATTTTTATATATTTTATTTTTCATTCGCGCACGCATGCAATAAAACTTGTAAAAAACGTTGCCGCTGCCCGGGAAAAAACGAACAAGAGGTAAATAATGTACAGCGACGAATATGCGAATAAGTGAGTGTGTGCGTGCGAGTGTGTGTGTCGGCGGATGAGTCGAGTGGTATGAGTGGTATGAGTGGGTCGTGCAAGAGGGTTGGGCGATGGGCGATGGGCGGTGGACAGTGGGTGGTGTGGGACGAGGTGCAGGGACAGTCAGACAGATGGGCAGCCGATGCATTGCATACTTTTAGCCGCATCGATGCATCCTTACAGAGGCTGTGGGGGTATTTTTTGCTGTATTTGGGGCGTTGTCGGTTTTATTCGTTTTTTGTGCGTGCAGCGGCGAACTGAAATAAAGCGCTGAGCTGGTGCTTTTGACAACAACAACGACGGTAATGATAACAACAACTATAACTCGAAAAGGTACAACAAATAATTGAAACGCTGGCAGCGCAGCAGGCATCGCACTCGTCCTGTGCAGTTCCGTTCGCTTTGTGCGCTTTTTAAATTCCAACTGAAATATGCGTTAATTTATGTTGCGTTGTTAAGCTTACACCCCAACCCCACACGCCCCCGTACAACTGTTTTTTTGTGCGTAAAATTGCGCCTTTCCCTCGGAAAATCCCCTCCCGGCAGCCTCATTATCTGCCCGCCAGAGTCGACAACGAATCAGTTTTTCCAGCTGGCCCCCATGTCCCAACCCCGGTAGCATCGAGAGCCTTTAGGTGGCACCAGCAGCACAACGCCCAACCGCTCCTTCCGTTTGTTTCCTCTTTTTAAATCTCTAGAATCCGCTGCTACAATTTAATAGTTGGCCAAACGTATCGTTTATCACAATATTGATTTTTATTAATTGAGTGAAAATTGTTGTTGTTGAGTTGGCCACGCATTCCACAATGGTTATGGTTTATCGTGCAGGCTTAAAGTTATTGCATGAAAAGCAAAGCTTTTATAAAACAAGCTACAACTTTTGACAAAAATATCTTCTGATTTTTATGGAACACAAATATAACACTAATTCGCCTTTCAAAGTATTGTATCTGTTCCTCACCCTGTGGAATATATCACCCATTCCCCTTTTTTCGGATATTTCTTAAAATTTTTTGAGTGGGAAAACCTTAAGAATTCACAAAATTCGTACCCAGAAACAGGCCATTGGAAGCACAACTGGTTTGATTCATTATCCTTCCGCAAGTGAGGCTGCAGCTCTCGCACTGGCGGGATGTGTGGACTTTTTATTGGTGTCCTTTGGCTCAGCATCAGCAGCGCGATCGCTTCAAAAGTGACGCAAATGGCAAGCAGTTCAGGGACAGACAATAAAGGAACCAAAACTGGACATTATCTTTGCCGAAAAGCGAAAGGGAAGAGTCATGCGGGCCAAATCATCGGCAAACATCAGCATCGGAATCAACAGAGGCCTCCGCTGGTGTAAACCAACCCCGAAGAGCTGTGCCGGGGGCCAAGTGACCAGCGGAGGCTGAGCAGTGACCAGCGGCAAACTGGTTGCTCTCGAGATGGGAAGGGTTGATGCCGAGCTGTGGATGCTCATCTTGGCCGGGATGCGTGTCAAAGTTCAACGGCAGTTGATGCTGTTGTCCAGTTTTTAAAACCGGCCGGGATCGGCCCCGTCTCGTTCTGGGTCCGAATCCGTTGAAATTTTGATGTGAAAGTTCAGCAAAACGATGAAGGGATTTCCTATAAAAGTTCCGTGTCCTGCCGGAGCCGAAGCTGATGCTGATGCTGGGATCGAGCGTGGGAAAGTCTTGCTGCGGAACCAAACGTGTTTGCATCTTATGTCCTGTCGCAGATGCTGCACTCCTGACCCGCCTTCCCGCCTGGAACCAGTAGCTCCTTTGGATCAACTAAGTACTTAGTCGGCAAGCCGATTTATTCATGCTATTTGGCCAGTTGGCTAATGGCAGCCGTCCTGCCGGCCAAACATTAGCTCACCAAATGGCCAAAAGCCATCCATTGTTTGTCTATAAGTTGCCTCGATAATTGTCCTCGAACGGAGTCACCATTTAGCTCCGACCTGGGTCGCTCCTCGTGGATGACGTGCTCGACCTTATTAGCTTAGATATTCCATTAGGCGCATTGATTACTCAGACATGCATTGATTTTTTCACAAGTGACTGCCAATTTCAATGCATAAGCGATGAGACCGTGGCCACTAATGAGCTGATGCTGGCCAGCCCCTCATTTACTAAAAACTGGCCGAAATTAATGGTTTCCGAGATACCTTACGAAATACGTTCGACAGGTTTTTCATTTTCTTTAGTAGGGAAATTTGAATTCTGCCGTTTGAATTACGTAATCAATCAAATAAAGTTCATATTTGAAGCTACAACTTCTACAATAGCGTGTAAGCATACAAGCAGCATTAAAAATAATATTGTTTTGTTTAATTCTCTTTAAGGTAATATATACTTACATTATAATAAATAAAGGATCATAATATAATTTCGCAATGCTTAAAAATAATTATGAATGCTCAAGTAAAGTGTTTTCTTTATCAAAAGTCAGTGCATTTAATTAAAATATGAAATATCATTTTAACATGGCATATATCCTAAACTTTTGGGTATTTCGATACGCTCTTAAATAATTCTTAATTATATCTAAATCTAATATATAACCACTCCAGCTGGCATCCAAACTGTTGTCTTAATAATATATTTAATTTCCAAATTATTTTCAGAAGTCTACACAATAATATCCAATAAATAACAACAAATAAATAAAAACATTTACTGTGCAAATAATTATATTTTCCTATGATCCCATGCGTAAAGGATAAGATATAACTAAGGAATCTATCTGCTTTGCAATTTCAATATATTTTAAAAATAATCCAAGCTTGTAATCCAGTTTCTCAAAATATCTCGACGAATAATCACCCATTCCAAGTCCTTTAAACTTCTAGATTTTTGAAAAAGATCGTTACAAAGGCAGCTGACAGCATAATGCATAATTCAGACAAATGCCCTTCAAGTCCCAAAATCAACCAGTTTTCTGTAGTTTCACTGTGATTTTTGGTCTGGTCCAGTAATTAAGCAAAGCCCTGGGCCCTTGGATGCTGAGATGCAGACAGAAGTCACATCAACGGGGCGGCACAAGAATCAAGCCGGTTCTGGGACAGTGCTAGCCAATGGGAAGATAAGATAATTTTGGGTTGAGGAGAAGGAACTCAGAAGATCAGAACAATGACTGACACCCCTAAGAAGTAACCACCACCTAAGAGCTATCCCAAGCTCGAATAAGATCGATCGCAGTTTAGGTGTAGAGCAGTGTTTTCTTTTTGCGCTACCAGCTTTAACGTTTTTATTGAAGCAACTTGTGCACACTTCAGGGCTTTATAAGGTGCAACAGGCGTCTAAATGTCATCCTTTCCTGCTGTTGAGGGGGTAAAATGAACGCAACAGTTAGCTGGCCCTCCTCGTTCCGTGGCTGCCGAAAAGTATGCTAGCAAAAGTTCAGAGCAGGACCGTGGCTAGGGGTGGATTTTGCCACCATCATCGGGTTGGCTCAGCTCGGCAACAAGAAGTTGGGCTAGGCTGATTTGCTGGCCGGCAATTGCGCAACTTATTGAGGTAGGCACCTCGGTGGTTATCTGAGAGATACTGCTGAGGAGCTTGTTCCGAGGACTCTACCCCTTGGCTTTTCTGCTGTCTGGCCTTCGGGGCAGTGGTTCAAAGTTCACAGATACCGGTTTGCATCTTGACCAGCCTGTCTTCGACCGGACCTCAGGACCATCTTTCGAGGCGGCCAAGCATCCGAATCTCCTCGAGACGTTCTCGGCGGGACGCAGATCAGTTTGCCAGTCAGTTGAGTTTGAACTTCCATTCGGTCGCGTCGCGTTCGCTGTTGTTCTTTTCTTTTTGGCCATTGGTTATTTGTTGAGCCGAAAAGAGCTGGGAGCTTGATTTTCGTTAATGTGGGATTTCTGTTAACTTTATATTGTTACAAATTACACTGTTTTCGTTAACTTTTTGTTACATAATTATTTTTAAATATTTGTTTGTTCGTTTAATCCATATCGTTAATTGAGTAATAAAACAAAGGTAAATTATAAATTCTATTTAAAGTGTACCATGCGTGTAAAACAAGTTTGTCTTTCGTGAATTTCTACAAGTGTTAACAAACAAATAGTGCAGTTTTAAAAACTTTTAAACACCCATTTCAGGACCTCCCAAGAAATCCCACCAAACGAAGAATTGAGAAAAGCTTTTAGCTATTCAATCTGAATAATAACATCCATGTCATCTGTCGCTTGGACTTGGTTTTGATTCTCCGAGTGTTTGAGTTGTTTGAGTTGGTAACCAGAACATCCACGTCATGGAGCAATCTAATGGCAGTCGCAAGCATAGTGTGGACATGTCTGAGCCACTCCAGCCACAGTCCTCGGCGGCGATTCCCTCGTCGGAGACCTGGAGCAGCAAGAGAAAGCTCTATGCCATCGATGAGCGAGAGGAGAGCTCGCCGGTGACTGTGGGAAAGGTGGATGCGGATCTAGCCTACGATGCGGACGTGGATGAGCTGGAGCAGCCTGCAGGTGAGCGGGAAATCATCTACGAGCTTTTCCAGCCCTGGGCCCTCAGCACCTACGGCGATCAGGCCAAGACCAAGACGATAACGCTGCGCAAGAAGGCACGAATCCTAAAGGCGCTCGAGGGCAAGGAGCACAGTCGCCCGGACAGCTCCAAGTTTCGATTCTGGGTCAAGACAAAGGGTGAGTGTGGACGGGCAACGGGGATTTCAAAAGGTAGACCTTCATTTACGGTAAACCTCTCATCCCAGGTTTCACCACCAACCGTCCCGACGGCTTTGAAGAGGCTCCGGGCAGTCGGCGCTGCCTGAAGCCCCTGCCCACCTCGGCCATTCTGTCCGACAATCCCGGGGAAGTGGACCTCTTTGCCGCATCCACCAGCAAGGGGTTCGGGCGTCGGATCTACCGCAAGGTGGCCTGCGTGGAGGAGTTCTTCGACATCATCTACAACGTGCACATGGAGCTGGGCGGACGCAGTGGCATGCACGCGGGTCAGAAGCGCACCTATCGCATTGTGAGTGTAGTGTACAAAGCTCATATGTAGCTACCTGTTTTTTAATGAAATCATCCCTAACTATAATTTCTATTCTTATATATTAAACAAATTAATTATCTAAGATCTCTTGTCCTTAGTAATGTTTTCAATCTTTCCAACTTTTATATAGAAGAATAAGTATAGGAAGTGTATATAATATAATTAATATATAATATTAATATATAATATAATTATCAGCATCAAAAGAAAATTCGAACTAGCTAGGTCCGGTTGTCCTTCTATCGTCTCGGACGGCTATATCATATAGCTTCCATAGGAACTTGACCTTATTACTAAATATGTAAAATCTTGAAAGGATTTCAGAATCATTTATTAATTAATTAATTAATAACGATATTATATTAATATCAACATCGGGTTTCGGCTTACCGAAGTTAGCTTTCTTTGCTTGTGTTCTTTGTGTCCTTCTTAAACTTTGTTTGCAATTATAAAATAATATATAATAAATAATATAATGCTGGAAGTTAAAGATGGTTAATCAAAATTTTCTAATAAATATTGCATTCTTTTTACAGATTACCGAAACCTATGCGTTCCTGCCCCGTGAGGCGGTCACCCGCTTCCTGACCATCTGTCCCGAGTGCAAGAAGAACCTACGCCCCTCCTCGCCCTCGGTGGGCGGAAAAGACGCCGACCTGGCCGGCAACGAGAGCTCCTCAGAAGTGGAGAACTACCTGAATTATTCATCGCACACGGAGAGCTCTCTGGAGGCGGGGCCCACGGCCAAGCGCCGCCGGCACTCGAGCGCCGAGCTCAAGGCCTCGCTTGCGGGGGCCAGTGGCCTGACCGGGGGTGTTGGACTGGGTGTGGGTACCGGGATGTATGGTGGCGCCAGCGGCTCCAGTGCCACCCAGCAGGATGGGCCGAAGGCTGCACCACCGCCCAGTCCCGGTCCCAGTCTCAATCCCAAGCCAACGGTGACAGAGGCGGCTGTCGAAACATTGCCGGTTAGCGTGCCAAAAATCCGGGTCAAGTCCCAGTTGCAGGGTCCGCCGAGTCCACAGGACCACGTTCAAGACCAAGTCGAGGCAAGCCCCAATACGGCTTCCCAGTCCCAGGCCAGTGCCAGTTCCCAGGGCTTTGATGCCCATCTGCTGAAGTCGCGGGACAATCTCCTGCGATACTACGACTTCATGAGGCGCTTCTATGCCGGAGAACCGGTCTTAGCGCCGCCCCTCTATGGCAGCAGCCTGCTGCAGAGCCTCAGCTATCCAACCCCAGTTTCTGCCACGGCAACCCCTACCCCTATCCCTAGCAGCACCACCGCTTCTCAGGGCAGGCCGCTAGACCCTCCCAAGGCCGCCTCTCCTGCTCCCAATACCAATGCCAATCCCTCCCTGCCTAAGAACTCTCCGGACAGTTCGGTGCAGGCACGCTCTCCGACCGTCTCAACAGCCACGCCCCTCGTCGCCAAGGACACAGCCCCTCTCACTCCGATTAATCTAACGAAATCTCTATTTTGCAGCCTCAAGAGTGGAAACCCGGCCTCGACATCGACGCCCGTGGCCGCCCATGGGCCGCTGAAGCTGGAGCTGCCTAGTCCGCCCAAGCCGCTGTCGGAGATGCGGATTCCGCAGCTCCGCCACCTGCCGCCCGTGGAGCTATCACTGCCGCTGCCGCCGCTGGATCTGGAGCGACTGAAGCCCATTACCTCGACTTACCTGCAGCTGACGCGCAGCATGGGCCTCAGCGACGAGGATGCCTTGCGCTTCGACAACTTGGTGAGTAAGGACTTTAAGTACTCGCTATAGTCTAAGGACACCTTTGAAATCTCGAATTCGTATTCGAATTATTCGATCTCAAATGAGCAATCCAGAACTTATATAACCCAATATCTGACTATCCCCAGTTTGTTTCGCCAAAGAAATGGCTGATGAAGAAAAGCTATATATATTTTTTTATTTATTAAAACAATTCGATTTTATATACATATATTTTTTATTACATTTGCATATTACATTTGAAAGCCCTTGGCGATATATAAATTTTATTGAAATCTCTTTTACAAAAAACGTACAATTTTACACAATATACATGTTTTACAAGCGAAATGACGCACGTAGTACTACTTGAAATATTTATGTCTTACTTATTTAACGCATAGTTGATTTTAATGCTTAATTATTTAGATTAGATTTAAGAACCACTGCTTATTGCGATTTTCATACACTTGATCCGCCAACAAATTTTTACTAATCTAGTTTCTTTTTTCTATGACATGCTTGGCTTATAAATGTAACCCAACTAATGCAATGCCATCGAGCCTGAAGGGCAGCGACAGACAGACAACCTCGCCACCCACTGTACACGGCAAACACCACCCCCAGCAACTTTTCCACCCACAAACGCTTTCGGCCACCAAATGCGTTCTGCGCTGAGCATCGCACAAAATTATGCAATAGTTCTTTCACGTATTTTTATAATTTTGCTTTGAAATTCAAATTGAATCTCCCGTTTCGCCTCCCTTTGTGTTTTTTTTATAGTTTTGATCTCTTAATGCTTGAATTATTTTTGGCTGCAATTTATGTATTGCATATATTATGTTGTTAACACGCTTAATCTATTAATGTTATTATTTTCGTTTTGTATATGTTGATTTTTTATTATTGCCATTATATATTTATTTCTCTCGATTTTTTACAGCTCAGTTGTTAGCCAACGCCCAAAATATTTATTGTAATAAATTAGCCATACGCAACTATTAATGCTTTTTAATTAATTTTGGCCAGCGATCTGAATAAAAAACAATTGTAATTTTCTAAAACGTATATATGCGATTAGCATTTGAATAAGTTATAGCGCTTTGTAGTTGCTTATACATATTATAAATATTTAAGGAGAGACAAGGTTCTATGTCTTGAATATAGCAGGTAAGTTTACACGAACGATTTGAACTTTTCCCCAATTGAGCCGGAAACACGTTATGATTAAAAACACCCTTATCACTTTGTTTAATGCGAAATTCCCGGTAAAAGATTGACTCAGGCCGTCCGGCGTTATCTCGGGGCTTAGCCCCGACTGATAAGTACTTTTATAAATGAACTCAAGAGCCTTTTTATTTTTCTAATTTGTTTACTATAAGCTTTAATCCACATTTCTTGATTATATACTAGAGTAACAATCAAAGCTTTAACCAATGGAAATTAGAAATGATTTACTTGGTGGGCTCCTCCTGCTTGGGCTTCTCCGGGTCCCCCTTGACAGTGCTCAGCACAAACCTCACGGTCAGCACTCTTCCGTTCTTATCCACGATCGTCTTGACGAGCTCCCCGTTCTTCTCCTCGATTTCCGCGGCAGAGATGTTCACCCTGGCCAGAAAGTCGTCAATGGTAGAGTCTGTCTCAGCGCCACTAGCCGGGGGGAGTAGATCCACCGGTCTCTGGGTGGTAGTCGGGTCTTGCACTGGAACCCAGGTGGGCTCTGTGTGATCACTAGGGCTCGAAGGATTCAGTGGCGGCAGAAAGGCGGGTTTTCTGAAGAACGTTCCGGCTGGCAGCGAGGGAAAGGCTCCAACGGGCGGGCTCTGTGCCTGGGGAGTGTTTTCGGGTTGAATGGGACCGGGTGCTCTGGAGATATCGGGGAATAGCGAGTTGAAGAAACTGTGTCCGGGGGAAAGAGGACCGCTATAGGTGCTGGTGGTTGTCGTCACCCTTCGACCTTGGTCGTCCAACTCCGTTTTGGTCTCGAATCGAGGTGTTACTCCCTCAGGAAGCCCCCACCTGGGGAAAAGCGATGAGTGGGGGAACCCGCTGCCAAACGGATCACCGAAGGTATTATCGGAGCTGTCGAAACCAAAATTTTGCTCGGGAAACCGGGAAGCTGGGAGCCGGGCGGGATTAGGCACGTACTCCCATTCTTCTTCTTGCGGCTTGGAGAGCGAGGTGGCACTAGCCTCTATCCTAGCCGGTGTCGACTTCTCCGTGAGCCTGTGCATGGACAGCGCTGTGCGATCGGGACTTAGCTCGTAGGTCACTCTAGTCTGCTCTCCGGCCTCCCCCTGCTTTGTGGTAACCAACGGCTGTCTAGTGCGCCAAATTTCGTCCAGGCCAGCAGCATCTAGGCCCATTCCCCGGGCCATGTTGTAGAGAGACTCGCTGGGTACGCTGACGGTGGCTCTTGCGGCTCCCATCTAAAACCAAACAAATACCTTACTTAATCGGGGATTGAAGGTCAGTTGCCTGACCTACCTCTAGTTGAAGGAGCAGCAAGCAGGCGCAGCTAGCCCAGAGATTAGCGTACTTCATTGTCGGTCGTTCCGCGGCACTTGCAAACACTCTGATTGTCAGAAACTGACTGACGCTGATTGTGGCGACTCAGCTGGCCGATCGCCACTTGATCACGCTCAAGAGTCTGATGTGAGCTTGTGTAGGTGTCTCCCTTTCAAATTCAAAAATTAAGCTTTCCTCCCAAAGGTTATCGCTCTGAAACAGGGGCCTCAAAGCTCAAAAATAAGCAAACGAGGATAGCTTTGGAAGCAAATCGTTTAATACCCTTAAAATAATTTCAGCATTGTCATAAGCTCCTGCAAAGCATTATCGAATATCTGTCTATATACTATATACCCTTGCAGTTTTTAACTGGATCGATTCGATTTAAGAAAAAGTGGTGAAATGGTCGGCACTGCCCTATTCCGCGGGTCACAGAATCGGCAGAGGAACTCCTGCCACACACGAACACTATAAACTAAATACACTTTGCTTATTTTTTTCTTATAAAAATGCAGTTTTGACATCAACAAAATTACGTCTAGGAAAAAAAAAACTGTTTTTCTACCCCTACCGCAAAGCAAAAATGTTTTTCTGCCAGAGATAATCGAGAATTACATTATGAGGTGGCGACCTCGAAATGCATTCATCTTTATTCACAGCATAATTTCAATAAGTTTCCTTGAAAAAATATATACGGAGTTTATATGTTATTCTTGAAATGAAAAACCAGAAACTTTAATAACAATTTTGCGGCTGAATTTATTTACAAGCAATGTTTAATTAACAACTAATAGTATTTAATAATTTACTTGGTGGGCTGATTTCCATTTTGACTTTTGGTTTCGACCAGCTCGAATTTGGCTTTAAGAACTCTCCCGTTTTTATCCACGATCGTTCTGACATATTCCCCATCCTCTTCCTTAATATCCGTGGTGGTGACATCAACCTTTGCCAGGAAATCGTCGATCACAGTATCAGCTCCCGGGTTATTTGAGGGCGCCAGAGTGGGCAGGGGAACCACCGGCAACCGGGTTGTAACCTCTGGTACTGGCACCCACTGGGGATCATTTGAATTGGATTCATCTACATTTGGCGTATAGACGGGACGCTCGTTTGCGGTTGGATTGCGTTGAATGGGAATGCGTTCATTTGGAAAGCGCTCATTTGTTGGAGGTGGGGTCGGATTATTTGGATTATAATGCCCATTAAACCCCTGGCAGCAAGGTATAAACGGGTTCGTTGAGAATATTCTCGTCCAGTTTTCAAAGAATGCCTGCGAAAATCCACTGCCAAACGGATTCAGGAACGGGTTAAGAAAGAGCTCGGTATCTGGCTGACCCCAACTCTCTCGAAATTGGAAAGAAGAGTGAAACTTATTTTCCACCCTCTTGGTAATTGTGCGTCTGTCGGGGCCCAGATTGTAGGTAACAGTTGTCACTTCATTCGGCGGGATCTGTTTTCTGATAACCAAGGGCTTTCCGGTGCGCCATATCTCGTCCAATCCGGCAGCATCCAATCCAAGGTCCCGGGCCAGGGCGTAAAGACTCTCGCTGGGTCCGGTGACGGCGGCTCTGGCTGCTCCCATCTAAAGGTGAACATCAAAGTTACTTGTGGAGGAGCCAGTGGCGAGTTGCACGACCTACCTCAATGTGAAGGAGCAGGAAGCAGGCACAGCTAACTACAAGATTGGCGTACCTCATCCTCGATTTTTCGCGTGGCACGTGTTAACACTTTGAATCCCGGAATCGAACTGAACTTGGCGTTGATCGCGACTGATAATTCTGACTGAGCTTGCCAATCGCCAGCTAATCGCTCTCAACGCGGGGATATATACATACTGATTGTTATTTAAAGGTTATCTCTCCCCTGAGAGGGGTTTTTCTCACTGTGCTGGGAAATATACGTATTTTACATAGAGTTGGGAGTATTGCATATAATTATAATCCAGGTATTGCTCATTTTATTTGTGGTTTTGAATTCATTTTAAGCTCAAAGGGTTAATCCATCAATTTACAGTGGTTTACAGTAAATAACCAACATCTTATTCAAACTTAAATAAAGTTCTTTATGAATGGAGTGTGCATATGGCTCGTATGTCTGTATATATTATATTTGCCAACAAAAAATACCGGTTTCCAACAATACAACCAACAAATGTTTGCATCAAAAACTAGTCAGACTGCTTTGACTTGTGGATACTCATCAGAACTTAAAAACTAAATATTTATAAAAAAAAATCGTTCGAACTCTTACGTCGAGATTCTCTAGTTAAAAATCAATCATTCAATAATATGGCCTTGACACTCTTTTAATTTAAATTTACTACGAAAATATTCCAATATATGTGGGAGCTCAGAAGCAGGGTATTGCATAAAGTAATAATAAAATTAAGACTTTATAGCATTGCAGGTAAATTTCTCATTGTTCGATTAATATGAATTTTGCTTGCATCATACTGGCTCGATGATCCCAATGGAGATCGTGAGGCTAACTTGCAAATTTTTCAACAAAGAAATCAGCTTGAAAGCAAATGTGTTGATATAAAGAGAAAATATTTACTAAAGCTTCTATATCCGCAATCAAAGTTCTATTAATTTACTTAAACTTTGAATTAAATAATCAACTAATAATATAAAAAACCAACATTTTGAAATATAAGTTTTTCGTTCCACATTTTAAAATCAAAAGTAATAGATGTAAATACACAGTACTGCCTTTTTTACTGTTCCATTGGAGTTTGTGAGTCTGAGGGTGGAGGCTGTAAAGATGTGGCCCCAACGGGAGGTGGAGCATTAGGTTGACTCAGGGGTGCGGAACAAAGGGTGCCCCGAAGGGTGCAGCAGCAGGACTGGACTCCGGGTGTGGCCATGCAGGATTTACGCTAAAAAGACGCCATAAACCTTGAATGCCAGCGGAGCGGAGGAAAAAAAGGGACCGAAATTGGAATTTGATAGACGCCCGAGCTCAGGTCCTTGTTCTGGTCTGTTCCCGGACCCAGTCCTTTCCGAGTTCAGAGGACGTTGCACGTCTCCCCAAAACCCTTTCGCAGCAGGGCCAGAGTATTGACGACTTTTTAAAAGGGTCGAGCGAAAGTCGGGGCTGTCAGGGATACGGGTGGGGGCTAGAGCCCGGCCAGGCGGGGCTTAGGAGGCAAAGGGACCAACGACCAACGACCAAGGGCTGCGTTGGCGCGTGCTATAAACCAACCGATTTCAACGCTCGGCAGGTGAGGCTTGTCTGTGCTTGAGAGGGGGCGGTGATTGGGTGATTGGGGGACTGGGTGGGGGCTGGTGGTAACCGGCCAAAGTTATAAAACTTTACAGTTAACTAGGCTTGGCAATCAAGCTAAAAGCAAAGGCGTCGTCCTCGTCCTCGTCCATGTCCGTGTCCGTGTCCGCCTTTCGCTGCTGCTCGGCTCCTGTTCGGCGCCATCTAGCGACAGTTGCCGCAGTCGGGCGGGCGACTAGCCTCCCGAAAAAAAAACCCAACACTGGCCGAGTCCGTGCACCTCTAAATGCGGACGGGTCAACACCCACTTGACCATGTGTGTGGTGCCCGTTCCAGTTGGGTGAGTCACCCCCGCAGTCCACAAATTCACAATCCTCCACTCACCCGAAGGGCTTGGCTTGCCCAATGCTCCGTGTGCCCGTCGAAATCGCTTTTCCATTGTCTTTCGCTCCTGGTTTTTTGGCGGACCCCTTGGCCGTCTAGTTTCAGATATTTTCATAGGGTCTGTGACATTTTTTAACAGATTTTCGCCTCTAGGTGGAGAAGTCCAGTTAGCCTCGTGTGTGGCTGCTGTTTCAAGTGGGCTTATATTGCCCCAGTGGCCCTGCCCAAAATTCAAATTCTCTTCAAGCGACCTGTAAACATTGCATTTGCTATTGGCAAAAAATTCATCCAATGAAAAAATTCCGAAATTTATTAAATTACATTGATTCAACATACAAAACGTTGGTCTATTTGAGTTCTGATACAAATTTTAAATACTGCTAAACCTCTTATCTATTTTCTAAATATAAATTTAATGTATTATTTAATATAAAAATTCAGATTTAATAAGCATTTTTTTAAGGATCAAGTTGATTTTTTATTTCAATGATTAACTCAATATTTTATTTCTCAACAGAATGCCAATTAGAACTCTGTTTTTGTTGTTTTTACTCAATTTTCATATCTATTCAAAATTTTGTTGCTTAAAAGATATTGCAATTATTTAAATTCAAGCATAAATAAGTTCAAACTGAAAGACAACCAGAATTAATCCCGCTTTAGAGTTAGGGTAAGTCAAAAAAAAATTGGACACCAGGAGATATGGGCACGCACCCCCAAGAGGCGGTCGTAGCCACGGTTGCCGACCCACCACATCCATACCCCAACCAAGTCCCAAGTCACAGGATCCAGGACCCAGGTCCCAGAACCCACACCCCGACGAACCAGGGGACCAAAACGTCAGTCTGTCTGTCGGTGGATGGGCGGAGGACGGAGTTTTAGTGCCTTTGGAACATGGGTCGGGCACTTCTTCATTAATTTTCATGGCGGCACAAGAACAATGCCCCGCCCATCCCGTTCCCCCTCCGTTTCGTCCTTCGATGAGGAGGAAACAGAAATGTTGGAGCGGCGAAAGCGAAAAAAAAGTTTCTCCAGCTCGGACCCAAGTTGTGGGTGTGTTTTGTGCAAATGAGCGAAGGTGGAGACGCCGTTCTTGTCCTGTCTCTCTATTTATATCTGTGAAACTGTGTGTATATATATACAAGTATATATGTATGTGTGTGTGAGTTGATTACTTTCTGTTTAGGTGCCCGTCCAAGTCGCTCCCCAGCCCCACCCCAAGGGCCGCCCTTCAAAAAGGGACTTCAGAAGGCAAAAACGCATTTTTATGTTTGCTCGTCCGCCCGTCTAGCTGTCCTCCAGGCCCCCCCCCTTCCTGTGCCGTAAGCAGGACGCGAAGCCCTTTTTTATAGCAAAGTTGGGGCTCGAGGATGTCTGCCAGGCAGGGACAATTGTCCCAGCCCAGCCCCGTCGAAGTCTAGTCCTGGAAAAATTGCAATTTTCGCTGAGGAAAAAAGCCAAGACATCGTCTTGGAGCCGCTTTGACATGGCCAGGGACCAGTTACCCCGCTGCTCTAATGAATTTCCGTCCAGGCAACTGGGCAGCATCCCTGGCAAAAGGAAACCGAGAGATGAGAGAGAGAGAAAAAAACAATTAAGGAGGGATTTGGGTGGGGACGCACCCATAATCATAATTGCGCGCCCGAAACTTGTCGATTCCTCAGCCATCCCTCTAATTGTCAGTCACCCTTCTGCTTAATTGTCCACTGGGTCCCAGCCAGTGTCCCTTTCGGAGCTCTCCTTTGCCTTATTCTCCCTTTTAATTTGTCAATTCGGTTCGAGGTGTTCTTCGTCGAAGTCTTTCTGATTTTCCCTTTTTTTTATTTTGGTACTTTTGATGGTCTATGTTCAGGTTTGCTGACGACTTGTCCTACAAGGTGGCAATTACTTATTTGGACTTGTTCGGCTTGCGTTTTAATTATTTGTACGATTTGAATGAGAGCAACAGGGATTTGTGTTAAGGAGTATGAAAAGACATCTGTTTTGAGATAGATTTTTAAGATCTTTTATAAAAAAATTGCCTTTTACAGACAAAATCCGGTAAAGTTACTTTAAAGTCTCGAAGATTTCTATTTTTCTTGAACATATATTAATATTTCAATGCTCCAATAAAGAAATTAGCTTAATTTAAGCTTTACCGAATACTAGTAACTTATATTAAAATCTAATATTAATTATAAAAGACAGATAACATAATGAAAAATCGAACCACTACGAAATGTATAACTCTTTGAAGACAAACAATCATTAAAAACCTCAATCAACATGGCATCCATCTCAATAAGCAATTTGACTTCAATTACCGAAACACTACAAGCACGCAGCGAGTGGGTGGCGGTGGGGCGGGCTAAAAAGGATTTCATGGCTACCGATTGAGCTTCCGATGCAGCGACAAAGCGGCAGACACAAAGACAGACGACACCGACACGGAACGGTGACGTTGATGGCAAATAAACAAAAGATTAAGCCCAGACAATAGTAAACAAACCTCATGAAAGAGACCGAAAGGACGAGGCGGAAAGCGGCAAAAAAAATGGAGAGAACAATCAAATAATGAATTCCTTTGGCAAACGACAAATTGATAAATTAAACGCCACTTATGGCAGAATGTGTGTGTGTGTGTGTGAGTGCTCTAACCGGAAGAAAGTGGAAAAAAAGAAATCAAAATAATGGCAAGGACACGCAGCGCCAAGCCAGCAACAGCAACAGAAACAGCAGACGCAAAGTGCACGCAAATTGAGGTGGCAATGCAAAAACAACATAAACAAGCAGCGCCAGAAAATAAAAGCAAAAATAAAAGTCAAAGGACTCACGCACACATAGACAGACCTCCGGCTGCCGTCCCTCTCGCACATACAAGCATACAGGCCAGACGAAAAAATAGAAGCAAAACAATTAACGTCCTTGACGAAATTGTACTTTTTACTTCATTTTATTTTGCCGCCATCGAAAAAAGCTAAAAAGAACAAGTTGAAAAGTTGAGCCGTGTGCGGCATAATAAGAGCACAAAAAACAAACCGGGCGACCAAGAAAATTATCCTTCGGAACCGACCCCGCCACACTGCCCCCAATCCGGCCAAAGGACAACAGAAACAGGAAAAAGCAAAGTGGAGGCAAAACAAACAAATAAGCAAGCGGCTCGAG